CAAGGAGGGACAATGCTTCCTCTGCGTTTGGACTGTAACAACAACAATGGAAACATAAGCTATGTTAGGCGTTTGGAGATGAGATAAAGGACGAGGCCGCCTACCTGAGGACCTTGATGTGTGGAAGAGCTTGTTTCAAATTAGGCAATTCTTCAGGTACGCAACGATCCTGGATATCGAACGTTGGAGCCTCAACACGAATCTCATGTTGAAGCATGATCAAGAGAGCGTCAGACTCACGGGTATGGGCTCAAAAATCAGGTGAGCTACATCGCCAAGCTTGCCGTCGGTACCAGTGCGTTCGCCTATCCAGCCAAGCTCTCTCGCCTCCTGGATTACCTCCAGCGCTCTGGCAGGCGAGCAGATGAAGTGCATCATGTTAGGCACCGCTGGAGTTCGTACGGTGCCCATTGTAACGTGGTCTCTTGGGGTGATCCGTATTCGTGGCGTGAGGTACTGGAAGGCCCTATGGTCGCCTTTGTAGGAATTAAGCGCGCGAGTCGTGCCTACTTCCTGTGGTCTGAAGTAGAACAGTCCTGGTACAAGCTCGTCTTCCGCGACAAGTGTACTCTGCTCGTCAGATCTAGAGCTTGAAGCATGGGCATACGACCGGAGAGTGTCGTATATTTCCTGAGGGAAGTCAGGCCCTTGGTCGACTATCATTGCCAGTGACGACGGCTGTAGCCTATCAGTCCATTATTGTACGTTTAGTACTGAAAGGAGCAAGAGTCCTCCGGGCAAATTGAGGCAGGCTGACCATATCCGAGCGCCAATGATGGCGTACGTTCCTCCTCCTCCGATCTGAGGCGCCGGTGCTTGCCTGGACGGATCGATGTGTCCATCCGCCGCCAGATAAGAGAACTCGTCTATGATGAACATCCCGAGGGTGAGCACAGTGGGTTGATTGGTCTTTGCTGCGCTGCTTTTGGCAGTAGAAGTGGCACTAGTCAAAGTCATAGTGGAGGACGTGTGGAGGAGGACGATGGTGATGGTCAAGATGAAGCCGCACAGTGCACGGCTTCAGCCACATCACCGAGCTCCAGGTGCTTAACGGCACGGACAAGAGTTTGGGGTGCAAGAATTCGTTCCAGATCATCTCATAGTCGGAATACGGTCAGCATATTGTGCAAAGGCAAGACCCATCTCCTCATGCATCCAATTTCCAGTAGATGTATCTTCGCATCAATATCACTTCGTCCAAAAGATTGGTGCGCAATGTGCGATCAACCGCAGAAACGAGCGGCTCAGTCAGCGATAGCTCAGTTGTTTCAACGCCGCGACGTTCTGAAGTAGACCATTCAATGTTCAACACTTGAACCTCCAGTCCGCGCATTTTCCTTCGCCTTCACTTCGCCAGCACTACGCCTTAGAGATCATTTTTGTCTCGTTCAGTACCCGCATCGCATCTCTTCTCTCCCTTTACAGACACCATCTTCGCCCAAGATCAAGTCTAGTCAACGTCCAAACGCCATCATCTGCCCGCCTCTACCATGTCCACAGCTAGAACGAACGAAATGCACCATCAGCAGTGCAGCCATGAGAAAATCGACTCTGAACCGCCTATTGAGGACCTGATGAAGGGGGCGATTGCTCTGGCCGACCGCACCCTATCTGAAGCAATCCTCTACACTCGGAAGAGCACCAACCGTAATCCCCCCTTTCGTCTTTGCACCGAAGGGATGTACTCCTGCTGGGTATTCCTCACAAGGAACGAGATCGGCAAAAACCAAGGCCTCGCGCACATTCTCCGAAGCTTACCAGCCCTGAAGATGTCGACGATACAACTTTTCCTATTCTATGGGGCTAGGACCTCGGTGCCCGAACTTCAAGCGCTCAAAGCCTGACTGGATAAGTGCACCTGCAACCGCTCAGACCCTTTGATCAACACCTTTCATGACTGCGGACAAGAGAACAAGACCGCGAAAGATCGTTTCCACAGCTTTATCGAAGTTCTCGCCGACGATTATACGAATCTACTCCTCCCCGAGCTCAGGAAGTTGTCTCGCATGAAGTCTAGCAATCCCAACTACGAATGGCTCACCATGTTCATCTCCCTATCTATCGGCCAAAAACAACAGCAGGAGGCACTTAAGGCAAGCATTGCGTGGTTCGTGAAGACGCGTTTCCCTGTCTTCGTCCGGTTGATCACTGCAATGGTCACCCAAACCGGAGCGTCGCCCTCACCTATGTCCGACTACCCCGCAGCAGCACACGCACCTGGCTTCAGATGCTGTGGAACCACGCCATATCTTCCTCGGCTTCTGAACATGGTTATAGGCAATATGTCGGAGTACCCCGCGCGGTCCCACAATTTCTTCCTTCGCGCCATCGACGACTATACACAGCTTCTCCTAGCGGCAATATCATCTCCCGGCTATGGTCGCGCAGCATGCTCGCGGAATGGGTTGATGATGTACTGGAAGACCCATATGCACTGTACTCGGCGACCTCAATCAGCTCGCCGACGACGAATATATCTGGCAATACCGGAGAAAGCTGGTAGCCGCTGGCAAGATCATCTGGCGCGAGCTCGAATCCCGCGGCTTCAAAATCCCCCAAGATCCTCTCGTCGTTTCCCTACTACCTACGGCGACGAAACGGCGTTGCTCAACTTTGGCGCACCGAATCCTCCACTTGCGTAAAACGATCAAGCAATGTTTAAACGTAACCTGTGGTAAGCATTCTTGACATCCCTCAATCGCCGGATCGACTTATTCCTCCTCTCTAAGGTAAATGCTGGTGCACTTCAGAAAAATTGTTTCGCCAATGCTCTGGCTGTCAATCCGCTTTCTACAGTGCGTTCTTTGACCGTCCAGCGTGAATCTCCGGCTGAGGTTTCTTTCTATCTCGGCAGGCTCTCCCGTCTGTCAACGTGCATCGTGGTCCTCGGGCGATCATCCACACCACGCAATCTGCAAGAATGTCGGCGCTCTCACGTCTTCGTGGTGCATCAAATACGCGCAAACCTGGGAAGATGTCGTCGCCGAAGTAACCTGCAGGCCGGAGGAACGTCGCTTCGAAGCTGAGGAGAGAGAGTACGTATACAGAGAGCAAGCGTCTGTGGGATCGATGTGGCAAGGATCGATCATCTGTCGGCGAGGATTCTGGCGCTGGTGGGAGTTCTTCTGCAACGTGAGTGTTGTGATATGAGTAGAACCGGTAATAATGTGCGCGCGTGGAGGATATACGAAGGGGAAGCGCTGTAGGATTCTTATTTCTTTGTCGTCAACAACTCGCATGTCAACTCTAGTATCGCTGTCCATACGTGTAACAATTCCAAGCATGGCCTATTCTACTTTACACATGACGGAAGACAAGATGCGATTTGACATGAGGGTGTTCATTCTATTGAGCTTGCCTCCAGTACGCCGCACGGCAGCAGACCATCTAGATGTTAGAGGCTATGCATCGCTTCCCGGTGTATACCTCAAGTACTCCTTGCCAGCGTCGAAATACTCCGCAAACCGCCCACCCTCGACCTTGCTAAATACGTCCTCCCACTCCATGCACACGTCCGTCATCATGCTGCAGATCGACAGCAGAAAGAAGTCTATGTACAGCGACTTGTCCCCTCCGAACCACGCGTTCCCAGCTCCCGACCTTCATCATCCTATCCACTAGAGATTCCCACATTGGATTTGTTGTACTTCATAATTAACTTGGTTGACGACTGCCAAACCACACAGCGTTCGTTTGGTATTGTACCGGGACTTACATTGACGGATAGTAGAGTCAAGGAGACTTGGTCGCTAGCGGGTATCAACTTAGAGAAGGAGAGACATTGGTCAACCGCGTCATTGAGGAACGGCAAGCTCTGCAAGTACAAGTTACCAAACCCCTCGAAAAGCTGCTGTCAATTTTCTACCATTAGACGATCCATGCAGCGTATATGTATGAATATCATCGACGACAACTGTTTCCTTGAAGGTGAAAGCGACTGTTAATCACACTAATCATCGGCATTGTGGGAATCGTCCGCATCAGGCTTCAGGAAGGTTGCACTGATCACACTAATCCTACCAAGCGTCTGTCTGGCGTCCAAACCTAAATCGTGCTGGACAGCTCATCAGGAAGAGGCACCCATTAATCACGATTAGCATGATTTGCGCCTACCCCGACCTGTGCTAATCCCACGGTGTTTAGTTTCTATGTACTTCCTGTGGTAGCTCTTGTATTTATTACGCTATGCACAAACTGTATTGACTGTCCGTTTGGGAGGTACTACATCATGATATATTAAAGGTGAGGGAGGGGCGGCAAAGAATTCGACATTTCTAGTGTTGTAGTCTTTACTGGATAGAGTCACAAAGCTCCTAAATTATTTTTTTACCGGAGTGTTTGACCCTCGACAACGCAGCAAAACAGTCACCCGCCCCACGTAAGCAGTGCAGATGTCGATGGATCTGCACGTTTACATCAGTCAGCACCACACGGTAAGCCGTCGAATTTGTTCAATCGAGTCCAAGTTGCACGTAGAACGAATTTGATCAGCGTTGAGTACTTGTTGTCATCGATCCGCACATGTCCACAACGCGGCACGCGGCGGGAGAAATTCGTAAGGATCTCGGTCGACATTGACTGCATTTAGTCGAAGAGCATCACCGTGTTGAGAGGCTGCATCTGGAAATGCTTCTCATGCAATGCCATCTCTAGATCTCCAAAATGCTGAATGCGCGTGAAAGACCCAGAGTTGGTGGCAGATGAGTGCGCCGGTGCTACAGTTCCCGCGTTATCCTTTGCCAGTGGCATCGACGTTAGAAGACGTAGTCAGCCATAGACGAGCAGCAGCCTTAATCGAGGGTGGATCATTGAGTATCAAGCAGACCGGCGACCTCGAGGCCTCAGTCTCGGGACAGTCGAGACCTAGAGGCTAAGTCCTGCGCCGCCGGACCTGCAGGCTGCGGTGAGTCGTGACTGATAATCATAAGTAAAAAAGAAAGGTTTGAAATGAGTAGGGGAAAAGTCTTTCAAAACAACCGCTTATAACTCAATCGTATCAGCTCTCTGACTGGGAGTCGAACCCAGCTTTCGCGCGCACGAGGAATATAACGCCATGACAGGCGCGTGTACTAACCGATATACTATCAGAGATATAAGTTAAAGTTGACTGCAACATATAATACTTTCCACAGTGTCTCTTGTGTTCTACTTTATGGACTCGTATCTCGTGGGACTTGAGGCATTCCCTGGTTTTCGTCGCTTCGACTCCGTCCTGATGTAGGTGCCAAGCGTGATCTGTCTACAAACCCTCTACAAAGATGTGCACGCATAAATCTCAGCCCCGAGAAAAGTCTTTAAAAGTACATTCATTCGGTTCCTTGCCTGCGAACCCAAACCGGTCAAGATACTCTTCGTCCTCTCAACACCGCACGCTACAGAGTGTTATATCCGCCCTCCGCCACCTCGCCCGTCTTCCCAACATCAACCTTGTCCTCCTCTGGAGGCCCAGATGTCCGCCCCCAGCTCCCGCCCAGCCGAACGTCGCCCTCACAACGAAGGGGGACGGCAAACTCCGGTGAACCACATCAGGCACCGGGTGCTCCCTGAGTCTGCTGCTGTTGCATCCTGGCCGCCGACGCTGCGAAGAGAGCCTCTTGCTCGGCGAGAAGTTCCTCTTCTGTCTTGCCGGATTGTTCGAATTTGGAGACTTTCTTTTCTTTGTCCTGAGGAAGGAGCATGTCAGTGAAATGTGGGGATGGCGAGGGAAGGGGGTGAGAGAACAAGGGGAGGATATAACGAGAAGTGCGAAAAGATAAGCGAGATCAAGACGAGGTGAAGAGCAGAACGGTCGCAGAACGAGAAGGCGCAACGCGGCATTGGACAAGGAAAAAAAGGAGAAGAGACGAACCTTTTGTTGCTGTTTGTGATCCTTCAGCACGTCTTCTACCTCATTCTGGAACGTGTCGAAGCCTAGTCGCTATCCCATCCGGTCAACATCTAAACGTGACAAGAAGGAAGAAGAGCACAAAGATACCTTGAGCGCGTTGATGATATGTTCAGGGGCGATCGTCTTCTTCGACTCTTGTTCGCATATCTCGTTTGCTTCGGAGGAGATTAGATGTATGAATTCTGTAATAAGGTCATAGCATCAATCTCGGTTGTCTTTCGCAGCCTTAAGGCAGGAGCCAGTGTCGAACAAGAGAAAAGCGATCGCCGAAGCCTGAGCGCTTTGACGAGCGCCTGCTTCAGTCGCGTTGGCGAGCGGGGGCCGTCGAGCAACAGGGTCCCATCGGAAGCGGGGACAAGAACAGAAAGAAAGTAGAGAATGGTGGTGGGAAGGACCGCGAGGAAAGTTCATCACCTACACAACATTCAATGACCAAATCGCGCGTCTCCTTCGTGCACGACATATCGTTCGGCAGCAATTCTGTACAGTGCGAAAGCATCGAAGACAGACGGCAACCAGATAGTAGAGCATAGATGGGACAAACAAAACCATGAGAAAGGGCTCGACCAGCGATGAAAGTCACTGGCGCACCTGTGATCATCTTAGCCACTGTCGCTTTAGGCAACGACAAGTCGTCCTCTGGCACCGAGCCAATCCCTCCTTCCCTATCTGACATCGTCTCGTCGTAAAGTCCTCTTCTTCTTCGTAATAATATATAACGCCCTCGAGACCGAGGAAAAAGAGAGCGAGAACGTAAAACGCGAGAATAGGTTAGGTGAAATGGGGAATGTGTGGGCCGGCGGCGGGAGAAGATTGGCAGGGTATTTATGGGCTTGAGCCTCACTGACTCTTGTTTAATGATCTTGATCACAAAAGCAATGTGATTAAACTGACACCACGTGGGAGTTGCAACTCCGCTAGGCGTGATGATCTCTGCGTTTGCCCTTCCAACACTGACGATCATCAGCCATGTCCGGTGTACGTCGCGTTTTCTTTGCTTTTGTCTTCTTGTGTTTCTCGGAAACTGACTGGAGATGCCGTTTGAATAGGTTCAACCCGTTAACCCGAAGCCGTTCTTGCAGGATCTTACTGGAAAGCCGGTGTACGTACGCCTAAAGTGGGGACTAGAGTACAAGGGCTTTTTGGTCAGTACCGATGGGTACATGAACTTGCAGGTCCGTGTTTGTTATCTCTATTCACAGTCATCCTGGCTGAAAAATTGGATATGGCATAGCTCGCGAACACGGAGGAGTTCCAGGATGGCAAGTCGAATGGAACGTTGGGCGAGGTGTTCATCAGGTGCGTCTGTTGTACGATCTTCATGGCATCAGTGTGGAAACTGACTATCTTCGGTCTTCAGATGTAACAACGTCCTGTACATACGCGAAGCACCGTCAGAATAGACGACTCACTACCCAAAATTACGCTCTTGATCGACTCTGCAGACATTGGCGTTTCTAGGATCGCGACGCTCCCCCGACTCCCGCCTGCAAAACATGGCCACCAACTTAACGGATACCTGCGGGCTACCACGCGAACTTCTTGCGGCACTTTGGACGCGGAAAACTAGTCTAGGAGAACATCACGATCTGGTTGCGTACTGCTCTTGCGTCTTGGTAGACGTTACGTTGCTTTTCCCAATATTAATGCGAATCTCGTCTGCTCAACTGCCCATATCACCCGTCGCGTGGTTTCTTTCCCGAGCTCGTGCGTTTATTCTACATGGTACCATAACGGTACAAACGCAAAGCGTTCAGCCCACGCGCCGTTCTGTTGTCCTCCGTCTCACGACTTGGAAATGTTCTTCCACTTGAGTCCCCAGTGGACCGATCTCCTGCATGATGACCTGGTCGTGATACTCCGCGCATCCCCATGCCCGTCTTCGCTATTCTTCATCCGCGCCAGCAAAACAGCACAAGACAAGGGAATGCAGATCAATGATGGTATACGTGCAGTGCATGGTGCCATGGCAGACTCTGCGCGTCCTATTTAACACCAGTCATCCAGACTATATCTCTGATAGTATATCGGTTAGTACACGCGCCTGTCATTCGTTGCGTGTGTGGTTCGCCGTTGTGCGCGCGAAAGCTGGGTTCGACTCCCAGTCAGAGAGATGTGCTAATGATGGAACTTTTTCGTCTGGCACCCTCTGGATATACGAGAGGTTGACTGTCTAGCGGCTTGGAGCCTTTGAAGTTGGAGCAGATGATTTGATCAGTGCTCACTTGACACTGCTACGAGAGTCTAGAGGTGCTCATCGACAACTAGCACCCACGCTCTGGCAGCCGAAGTTCACGAGATACGGTCAGTGTCCATGGCGAGGTTTACACCGATGTACGCCGGTGGTCTAGCTTAGCGCGAGCTTGGGTCGACAACACATCTCAAACGATACTAGAATTCATGACTTAATATACAAACATTGAAAGTCTCCTGCGATCGTGTAGGTTACACCCGAATACAGGCCTGAGGACCACTGCTTCAAGTCTGTCTCACTCTCCAAACCAGTCTCTCCCCGCTCACCTCCCTCCTTCTGAGGATGTCAATAGCGTTCTGCGCACGCTCGAGAAGCGTACTGCCCTCTACGACCCTCGTCTTGTTCGGCGTGATCACACCCTGCACAAGCAGCTCTGGCATAATCAAGGGCTGCAGATCCCGCTTGAGAACCTCGTTCTACAATTCAGGTGACAACGTCAGCATCCATCGCAGAAAGAGATATACATCAGAGAACACACGAACCGCTTCATAGAAATGCGTCCTCACGCCCACCGTCTGCACGCCCTCTTTCCAATTCACCAGACTGTGCGTGTCCAATGTATACTCCGGCGCACGGTCCTGCTCTGCGTGTGTCTTGATGACTGGTAACAGGACGGCGACGAGAGACCCAGGCGGTGTGATACGGGATAGTGGTTCCATGCTTCCCTCCACCGAGCCAATGTTGTCCAGGACTTTCACCCTCTCTCCCGATCCATGCTGAGCCAGGACATCACGCAGGCGAGCAAGGTCCTCCGATGAGGTATAGTCGTACGTCTCCGTCGCCCCGAGAGAGCGTAGAAGGTCGTGGTGTCTGGGTGAAGCGGTGACGGGGATGTTCGTGTATCCGTAGTGTTTGAGGACTTGGAGGACGTATTGGCCGACGGAGGTTGAAGCGCCCCAGAGGAGAATGGGAGCGGAGGCGTTGGGTGGGGTGTAATCTGCAGGCTTGGGATAGGGGAGGTCGATGGAGAGATCGCTGGTGAGAGCGTGCCAGGTGGTTACGAAGGAGCTGGGGACGGTGGCTGCTGCTTCGGGTTTGACGTTTTGCGGGACCTACATCATAAGAGAGGATAGTCAGGAGGATGCTCGTCAAATGCGTTGAAGATAGCTCGACGTACCTTGCCCAAAAGGTGCGCAGGAATGGTGATGAACTCCTGCTGTGCGGCCTGCTTATGGACTGGCGGTAGGAACCCAAAGACCTGGTGATGCGGTAGCAAGCGTCGCGTCAGAATACACGCTCTGACATCCTAAACCATGATACTCGTACCTGATCTCCGACCTTCAGATGCTCGACACCCTCACCCACCTCAACGACGGCTCCAACAGCAGTATCACCCAAAATCTGCGGAGGCGTAACTCCCAGACCCCCATCCGCTTGATGAAGATCAAACGGTGTCGATCCAACCCAGTGGACTTCTACCAGGACTTGACCAGCGGATGGCTTTGTGTCGGGGACTTGGATGATCTGTAAAGGAGCGCGTGGGGCGACGATTGCTACGCCTGCGTGGGTAATGTTTGTCGACATGGCGAATACGAGGAGGGAGGTCTGGTTGGTAGTGCAAATAGCGTGGTGAGAACGTGTGAAAATGGATAGAGCAAGGCGTGTTGGTGGACAATCTCTTGTCTTATATTCTGAGCTGCCTGGCGAAAGCTGAGTAAGGTTTCCCGAGCAGCTGACTAACGCCGACGGTTGGATTAGCGAGCGTCGCGTTTATAATTCGCACATGGCGCCATTGCGGCAGAGTTGGACGCGTTGCCATGGCGGATGGCGGATACTTCGTAGAGACTGGGTGACAGGGTGTAAGCCGGGTGAACGGTCGAAATGTAGGTACAGACCAAGTCTGTACCTGCGCACGGCTCCTCTCAAGCTCTAAGCCAGCTCTCAAACCGGAATTATTAGTAGAAGCTTAGAAACCTGATCCTGCTCTTGATTCTCGCTTACTTGTTCCTACGTTCACGCTTCTTGAATAGGGAAAGCGCAGGAGAGGGAGGTCAAGAACCGTAACGTATTGCCAATGCCATCGGTGGAAAAAGTAGCGGTTCAAGGTCGTGCTGAAAGTCGCCGTGCCATTTGGATTGCATATTCAGGTTGCCGGCCCGGGGTCCGATCAAGATCGACCTGGGAACTTCGACGCTCTTGAACCAACCTTGAACACAAGGTACTTCAAAGAAGTCGCCAGACAGCGACTCAGAGCTACTTAGATAATAGAAAACGATTAGTGTGAGGCGAACGGTCGGATTTGTTATTACTAGTACACGCAAACTTCTGCACAACAACAACATTGTTGTACGAAGCATGATGATGATACTACAAGATCAGCGCGCCTTGGCTCATCGAGGAGGCACGAAGAGACTACATCGAGGAGGGGAAGCTACAGTACAGGAATATCGGCCTTCAGACAATACCAAAAAATGACACACCCAATCCGGTGAGAACTTCAAAACAGGAGGTCCTTCAGCAATTCGATGATCAAATACTAGAGTAACGCACCTATTCCGGGATGGGCACAAGCAAAAGCTGGTCCTCTAGACGCCTGAGTCTCATCCAGATCTCGAGGCCATCACTCTAGAGTGTATCCAATCGCGCCAGCTGATCTAGCGCTCGCTCGAGAGCCTCTGCCCACGTCAGCGTCTTGTTGTCGAACTCGTTCGGGGGGAAATCGTCCCAAACTTCGCGGTACTCGTCGTCTCCATGTGCCTGCAATGGATGCACTTCCCACGTCGAAGCCATGCGCTCCGTCTGAAGTGTCCTCACCCTCGCAATCTTCGCCGCGATAACCCTGATCTCCGCTTCGGAATGCTTCTTGTGGAGGGACATTAAGTCGGTCAGACGACACCCCGCGAGTCTCGCGCCAATTCCAGGACCGTATGCCTCTCGGCGAGACTCGCCCATATCAACGACGCGACTGTTCGTCGAGAAGAACGCTGCGAGCTCTAAGTATGATAGTCGGGGAAATAAGTCGATTAACGTGGTTGCGCCGTCTCGCGGACGCGTGAGAAGATCGGTGACGGCCAAGCCCTCGTTCCTCGCCTCAGTGAACACAGGATCAAACGCATCGCGCCGGATCCCCAAGATTCGACGGTATTCCATGCCTGAGGCATAGAGTGAAAGAAGGCAGCTATCTCTTGATCCGAGGCGTTGGTAGTCAAGAAGAATCGCTCGAGTTCGCAGGAGGAGACCGATAGGAAGTCCCGGAGATGGCCGGATACCGTGTCCAAGGGACCAACGTACGCGAGGGCGATAAGGGCGGGAGCTACGATGCAGGCAATCGTCAACTCTGGTAATCTGACGCCCACAACTGCGAGTTATGTGAGCTTCGGCATGAAGAGGCGAGGCTCCCCTGTATTAGTACCAGCGGATGGGGGGAATGTCGATGTGGGACTTGTCAATTACCGAAAGGTTGGTAAGGTTTGTGAACAGGGAAAAATCGCGCAAGAAGACGTCCGAAGGCACCATTCTAAGAACGATGAGGTTTATCCTGTTGACCCGGCTTGCTGAGAAAGATTGCGGAACGGGGACGGCAGTAGGATGGACGACTCTGTCATAGTATGACATGCTGATTGTGGGGGGTTCCTGATTGCCTGTGAGAAATACCTGGAAGCCGTCAATCTCATGAGGCGCCTCTATCAGGAACATCACATTGTACTTGGGGGACTTGACAAGGCGGTTAAGATGGGTTAAGTGCCTCAAGACGCTTAAGAAAGTCGGACTTATGCCGCTAGCCCCATTTCTTGACAAATTCTCTAAGACAAAGTTAAGACACGGTAAGTTGGAGTTCAAGTTCGCTCTAAATGTGCTCCTCAAGTCGGCAGGTTGTACTTAAGTCTGCTCTCAATATTACTAGTTGCCCCAAATCAGGCGCATATGACGAGGGAAAGCGTTATATCATTGAACATTGCGTACAGTACGTTATAAGTCAATAAATACACATGTACATACACCCTGCCGTCCCGCAACCTCCGAGACGCTCAAGAGCTTTTGCGTGGGAAGCTTACAAATGGCTTGAGGGCTAAGACTGATGAGCAAGAGGTTGAGCGTTGAGCACGTCAGTGAATTGGGCAAGGAAGAGAGGCGGTAGCTTGGATGGCTTGAAGACGCCAGATGCTGACAAGGGGGCAGAGTCTTGCAGCAATCCGTCAGAAAGACAGATATTGTACCAGTGCCTCCAGACGCGGAGTAGCGTCCACGGACCATCGAGACAGACGTTTCGCAGCCCTATATGTAGAAGCGGGATGGTTCGAGCGAATATATCCCGAAGAACGTCAGGAGGGATCCGTCGAAGCGGAGAGTCTAGAAGATGGGAAAATTGCCAAGAATAGTCGAGGGGTAGAGAGGAGTCTGTGTTGTCGTTGGAGTGGTTGTTGTTAGAGGAATGATTATTGTCAGAGGAATGATTATTGTCAGAGGAATGACTATTGTCAGAGGAATGACTATTGTCAGAGGAATGATTATTGGCGGCCGACGACTCGGCGCGGCTGTCGCTGTTGCTGGAGGTGTGTTTGTTATTGGAGCTGGAAACCGGACTTACGCTGGAGTTGTACTCGGAAAAGCCCGAGCCAGAGACATTGAAAGCCGTCTGCATGTTGATCAATAATGATGAGAAAGGAAGGGGATTTTCGCTGCAAGGGATACGATCGATATCGACTCAACAATCTTCCTGGTGGTAATATATAGCACGCTGGCTAGTCGCGGTCATCAGACGACCAGATTTGATCCTGAGAACTGAAAGAGGCCTATAGACGGCGACGAGAGAAGTTTCCTAGGCGGTGGCTGGAAGAGATGCACACATGAGGGCCCATAAAAGAGCCACCCAGATGCTATTCTTCCCAGCGCACCTCGCTTTAACTATAGCGGTCGGC